TTGGGCTAAATCAAATGTGTTTTTAAATGTGGTTACTAGTAAATTTTAAATTATATATTTGGCACCCATTATATTGTCACTGGACAACAACGGTATGTTGGAAAGACGCTGGAGTTTAATAAATAGAATCATTCTAATCAAGCCTTTTGTCATTTGACTGTTGTAACCTTAGGCAAATCAGTTACACTGATGATGAGGTTCTGTATCAGAAAAACAGAACTAAACAATAGTCCTGAAACCTACTGTTCAGATCTTGGTATCTAAATGTATTTTCCAACAAGTTTCTACTGTATAGCACAGGGTACTACACTCAATATCCTGTAGTTAACCTATAATGAAAAAGAATATGAAAAGGAATATATGTATGTATATGTGTGGCTGAAACACTGTGCTGTACACCAGAGATTGATGCAACATTCTAAGCTGACTATACTTCATTTAAATAAAAAAATGGGGGTGGGGAAAGGAACTGTAGAATAGCTTTAAAATAAATAAATTTAAAATAAATTAAAAAGTTTTCCACTAAAAAGAATGGAAAACTCCTTGGAAAAATAGCTGATGTCAGGGCCAGGACAGGTAAAGTACAAGATGAACCCAGAATATCTTGTTTTGGCAGGAAGGAAGTGCTGAAAAAGATCATTAGGCAGGGAGGGGTTGGGAAGACACGTGATTTGTCAAAAAACACTGGAACTAGCTCAGTGAGGCTCCCACTGGCCAAATCTGGAACAATTTGGGAATCAAAATAACAGTAATAGATTTAATAACCATTGAATAAAATAGGAATCCCTGAATTCATACTGATAAAAATAACTGAATAAATAAATAAATAAATAATGGAGGAGATGAGAAAGACTGCTTTATAACAGAATATCAACTACTAGCTATAAAATGAAGTTAGAAAAATCATGAATAGATGTTAAAACTTATGAGTGAAATTTTGATGAGACTATGTAAATATCCTGGTCTTTCAAGTATTTTTCACAAATTACATATTAAATACAAAAGGATAAATAATAACTTTCAGGGAAAAATATGGAGAATACCACATTAACCAAATTTTCAAAGCTACCATCACCAAAATGGGGATAAATCAACATCATGAACCTTAAGATATGATGCACTGAGAAGGTCAGACATCTCTTCAGAGATATTCCTGCCAAAAATGCATAACCAATCTAATCACGAAGAAACAACAGACAAACAAACTGAGGGATATTCTACAAAATAACTGCCCTGTACTTTTCAAAAATGTCAAGGTCAATAAATAAAAGAAAGGCTGAGGAGGTATTCCAGAAAAGAGACTAAAGAGATACGATGCCCAAATGCAATGTATGATCCTGGGCTGGGGAAAAAATAAATAATACAGACTAACAGATAAAAATCTGAATATGGATTATGAATTAGATAATAGTGCTATTAATAGTATGTAAATGTTATATCTCCTGGTTTTAATAACTACACTGTGGTTAGGTAAGACAATGTCCTTGGTTTTTGGAAATATAACTGAAGAATTTAGATGTAAAAAGGTGTGTCTCCAGATTACCCTCAGATGGTTCAGAAAAAAAAAATAGATGGATATAAGGCAAGAATGATACAGCAAATAAAGTAAAATATAATACAACTGGTGAATGTAGGTAAGGGCATATAGAGGTTCCCTGTATTATTCCAATTTTTTCTCATAATTTCAAAATTATACCAAAATTAAAAGTTAAAAACAAAAACAAAACAAAAAACTTGCCTTATTTCCCAGATCAAATATCCTAATAGACTATATAAATCCTGATAATGTTTTAAAACATATTAATTCATTCCTTTTACCCTAGACTTTGCTTTAAATTTTATGACTTACAAGATACTAGTTATATTATATATTGCATAAGATCCAGGACAGTATCTGTTATCACTCAATATCATGCTGAGCAGTAGGATACTATTCACTATACCCAACAAGCATTCAAACATTTGTTAGATAAGCATACTCAAAATTACAGTATAGAATGATTACAGAAAAACTGTAAAAAGCACCACACTGTAAAGAAAGCTATTAACTGAGACACAGAGCTTATAGGACAACTCTTCAATTAAACCATAAAAAAAGAAAAACCTGAAATAAATCACAGAGTAGCCACAAATCTAACCTAAAGAGATGAGTTTCACAAACAGAGAAAGGTAAATATCATTTTCCATATCAAGAGTTAAATGTCTTAGCTAGTTAATATTTAACTTTAGTACAATCAAGTTTTTGCCCATAAAATTAGAATATTTATATATGCTATTTAAAAAATGAATGAGATTAAAGATTTAGGCTAAGAACTGAGATTTGAAACCTCATTATTGACTCAATTCTGATTTGCTGTACAACCCTGAGATGCTGCTTACAATTTCTATACCTCATTTAAAAATAAGAATTATGGATCATTTTCTTCCCCAAAAGCAGAAAGAATATTTTATAAAAAATAATTTCAAGCAGTAAGAGCATTGAGTATTCAACACATAAGTATATATATACACACATACATTCACACACATACATATATGTGAAGTAAAAATATGGCTTTTTTGCAAATATGTTTACAAAGTAATAGAGAAAGGTAACTTAAAATAGTTACACAAAATACATTTAATCCCAATTCATACTATGAACAGATGCTTCACACACACAGGATACTGAAAAAACCCAATCAACAAGTGTATATCCTGTTTAAGAGAGTTTTATCGAGTATTTTAAAAACAACAACGACAAAAACAAAACATGAGATGAGTCTTAATTGGGTCTCCTGCCTAGGGCTAGGAGAAACAATTCTCAAATGTAGTTAGAGCTCAGGAAAAAATTCCCCTTCCTTATTCCTTATAACGGTATATATTACGTTAAAAATGTAACATAGAAACTGCGTATTAGACACACAGCATGAATTCAATTTTCAATGTCCTCCAATGCTACTTGCTATCCAAACAGGTAAGACAGAAACATATCGTAATTCCCTCTGTCCATCAAATCCAATTAATTTTGAATTTAATTCAAATTTGACTATTTTTCAAAAGCACAAATATTTCTGTGAGATAAAGCCATACTTATTGCATCTAAGTAAGAAGATAAGAAAAAAGGAAAAACCCAAAGTATTCTAAATCATAATAATCGACAAAGACATCGTCAAATCACTGCGTGCTTCGGCAAAACTTAACACGAAGACACCGTGAGCCAGTGTTACAACGCTATCATCCTGCCTGATTCTATCTGAACGAATTCAACAATTTCCAAACAGGTTGTCAGTGGAAGAGATCTTTACATAAGCAATTATAAAAACCGGGTCCATTTTGTATTCAGGAAGCACTAACAACACTTATTTTAAAATTTTTATATAAGGAGTACTGTGAGACTTCTCTTACACTTTTTTAAAGAGGTAAAATCACTTATGAATACTTGCCTAAAGCTATTTCCCAGAATGCTTCCTTAGATAAGACCAAAACATATTTTATAAGGGTAAAGCAGTTCATTGATTAAACATAACTTAAATGCCCCTAATCAGAGCAACCTTCCTTCTCGTACATTTTCCAATATGCATCGTATTCTTCAGTGCACATTTCTGAGCTGAAGTTGTACTAGTTTATCCTACCAAGAGCTCCTTTTCACTAGTGAAAAACAAGGAAGATCTTCTCGGCGCTAACCAAACAAATCTGAGGGGGGTGGGAGGAGAGGGGGCGCGAGGTGGCGCAAGAACAGATGGAAACGAGGTAAGAGAGTTGTTTTCTTAAGGCACTAAGGTTACTCCTTAACTCCAAATGCCAAGATTTAGTCGCCAGTCGAGCAAGCTGCTGCCACTATCCACTGAGACAATGCAACCTTCCTTCCTAGCGCTTCTCCTGCTCTCCTACCCACCAACCCCTTCCAAAACACTCACAACACACCCCATCCCATGACCCGCCTGGTCCCCTCGATGCCCACTCAACCAACCTGCTGGATTAACAGCTCCAAGCACACGTCTCACTCAGACAAAAAAGGCGACAGCGGCAAGGTGGGGAGGTCCCACTACCTCCCGCCACCCCCCAGCACCCCGCAGAATGACAGCCCGGAGCCCAGAAGTTTGAAGCAAAACGATTCCGACCCAACAGAAAAGGAAGACGAACTAGCAGGAGGACGGAGATGGGAGGTGGGGAGGGCGATGTGCGTGTCTGTGCAGGGAAGGGTCCATCACATGACAGTAAGAGAGGACCAGAGTCGTCGGGGCGTCCGCGAGGAGAAGGGGGGTTGCCGTCGCCATGGCAACACCCCCTCTCCGTCCAGACTTCCAAAGAGGGAGGAAGAACTTCAAATCCCAACCGTCAGCGCTCGAGCGGCTCCTTCTTAAAGGGGTACACACCGCGCCGCCGCGGCCGCCGCCGAGCGCGAGAGGGCAGAGTTGGGCGCCCCCGCCCCTCGGGCGACGCCCCCGCCGCCCCTCGCCCCCCGTGGGCCGGGCCGCAGCCCCCGCCTCGCGAGCGCCCGGGGGTCGCTCAGATCCCGGTCGCCGAGAAGTCGGCCGCGTCGGCCGGCCCAGCCCCCGGCGGCGAGAAGGGGGTGTGTGTGTGCGCCCGGTGGGGGCGCGGACCAGCCCGCCTTCCTCCCGCCGGCTCTGCCCGCCGGCTCCCCTCCGCCCGGGCGCCGACCCGCCGGCCCGCTTCCTCCCTCCTGACAGGGTGGACGGAGAGCGGTGAGGGGCGCCGAGGAGTTTCGGGGAGAGCGCGAGCGAGCCGTTTCCTCGGGGGCTCGGCGAGCGGGTCCCAACTAACAGTTCCCGGGGAGCCCAAGAGCTGAGGAGGAGCAGGAGCGCGGACCGCGCCGGGCGAGGAGCCCCCAGACAAAAGGCGAGCGCCGGAGCCGCCGCGCCGCCGCCGCTCCCATCTCGCTCCCCCATTGAACTGACCCGAACGGGAGATTCAACTAAACCCCTCAGCCACAAACTCCTCGGGCTGCGGCAGCCGTCGCCGCGCGGAGCCGGGGCCCCGGCCCGTGTCTCTCTTACCTACACAGTGCATGAGGCGGTGGCGCCAAGAGTCGAGTTCCCGCCGGAATCCTCTCCTCTCCGCCGCGCACCGAGGGCTCCGGCACTGAGCAGCGGCGGCGGCGGCGGCGGCGGCAGCAGCGGCGGCGGCAGCGGCCATTCTCTCTCTTCCCTTGTCCATCTGCGTCCCGCGTCACGCGCCCTCATTTACATACGAGCGGCGCAGGCACGAGGCAGGGGCGCGAGCCCTCGGCGCGAGCCCCGGAGCGCGCGCCCCCCGGAGGGGGGTTGATTGACACGTGTCACACTACCTTCCCACTGCCCTTCCCTCCCCCTCCCACCGCTCCCACAGGGAGAGGCGGGGAGCGAGCGTGAGGAGAAGGAAGCAACCTGCCGCTTCCGCTGACCCCGCCTCCCCAACTACTCCCCTCTCTCCCCTCCCCCAGGAGTTTACTCAAGCGAGCCATACTGCTCCTGCCGCCCGCGAAAACCCTGAGCGGGAGTGAGAGGCTCGGAGCCCGGCCAGGAACCGGCGTGCTAATGGAGCGGACTAGCAACGCTTCCCTTCTGCCTTCGCGACGCGACTCCGGCCGCCAAGAGACTTCACTTCCCAGGCCCCTTTGCGCGGGGGTCCCGAAGCGGAGCTTGCCGCTGCGGCGCGGTGCATGCCGGTTCTTGTAGTCCAGCAGAGATGGGCACGTTCCTATCCTCCTTTCACACTTGGCCTTGCAGATTGGCCTTGGACTTCTCAGCTCTGGGCAGCTTGTAGGTTTAGCCTCCAATTCCCTGTGCCCAAGATAGTGCGCTCGCTGCAGGTGTTGCGGGGTCTGACCCAGCCGCCTTAACTTCCTTGGACTCTCCGACAGAAGGGCATTGGAAGCCGCGAGAGTTATCGGTCTCTAAGTTTCGGGCTGCGCTTCGTGCTTTAAGTGCTTTTGACGGGTCAGTGTCATCTCTCCACTGCAGAGAAAGAGCTTGCCTGTCATTCGGCTGCTCCCGAAATAACTACCAAATATCCAGAGAGAGAGAGAGCTCGCAGTGACTTCAGTTTCCAGGGCGATGACATCTCGGAAAGCGAGAGAATATTTGTAAAGATTAGGGAAAAGGTGCGGGGCTTTTCGCAGGAAATTGTTTATGTAGGTTTGGATGTGGCTGGATGAAAACTCCAAAGGGGGAACTTTTATGTTCCACAAAAAGTAAACTCCTGGAGGACAGCGACCCATTGAGACTTTCTGTACGTCTTTAACTTGCCTGAACCTAGTACAGTGCGTGGCACGGGATTTAGCATTTAACAAATGTTACGGAATGAATTCCACGCTACGCTGGAGAAAATACTTCTTCAGAGAGAACGCTTTTGATTAGATATAAAGTCCATTAACATTCTTTTGCACCACAGCGGTTGTGCATGTTTCTTTGTACATGTGCAGGAGGCTGCACTGAAGCTAAGACACCCAAAGTTTGCTGAGAGGTACTGTGTATTACGGGAAATTTATGCACCAATCTGTGGGAAATATGTTTTAATTCTTCTTGGAAACGCCTGTGAATTCTGAGTTCAGTTCCACCCTCCCTGTTTTATAGCTTATCTGTATCCACCTTTTTTTTTCCTTTGTAGAAGAGAGTGTTCGTTCCTCATCATCTCTCAGTAGTCAAGAAGTAGTTTTATATTTTCACAAATGAAAAAAATAATTGAAATCTCATAATCTTTTCTAGAATCGACACAATTGGAGAAACAAATGAAATCACTAGTGAAGGTGCTTTTGAGATTATCAGTGGATGGTTTCAGTTATGGATTCTAGTGGTATTATAATTGCCAAGTGATCAGCCTCTGCAGCTTTCCTGATCACTTTCACAGTAATCTACATTGGTTAGGACGGGCTAGGTTATGGTGCAGTAACAAAAGATTCAAAAGTTTTAGTGGTTTAATAAAACAAGAACAAAATTATTTCCTGCTCATCAACATGTTCATCTCTGTAGGAGGAAGGGATTGGGGGAGTGGGGAGAGCTTCAACTTAGCCATTGTCACCAAGCAGCCAGATGGTTTAGGGAGGCTCCAATCAATAACTTCCCCACATGCATGATAGGCACAAGGAAGATGAATGGCAAACAGGTTCTTTCCAAAAGTGACACAAGTCAATACCACTCACATTTCATTGACAAAAGCAAATTGTATGGGCATGCTATCTTCAAGGGAGCAGGAAGTGTAATCCTGCTTTTTGCCAGAAGGAAAATTAACCCAAATTTACTGGTGAACAGCACCAATGATTACTGCAATCCATCGTTCTAGTCACCAATTTACAGATCACTCTTCTTATACTATAATACATTCACTCCTATCACAAGGAAAACAGTCAAAAATTCTGTTCAGTAATGGCACTAATCTCAAAGTTCAGCATCTCTGGATGATGCTTAGTAGTCCCTGTATTAGAACAGGAAAAAAATTTTCTCTTGTTATGGAGACTTGAAAAGACAAAGTATCCCTGCTTACACACACACACACACACACACACACACGTGTGCACTGAACATACAGTGGTGGGATAGGAACAAAATAACCATGGTAAACATTTCTGTTTAGAAAGCAGAAGAATGGGAGACATGAATGAATAGTTTTAGCAAATATTTTACCACAGCTAGCATGGATTGCCAACTTCCCAGTCTCTAACAATAGTTTCCTTGCCACCATCTACTAGTTTCTAAGTCATAGCTAAATATTTTAGGTTTTCTATCATAACTGTACCTCCTTCTGGGTACCAAATTCTGTATTAGCCAGAATGGGCTAGGTTATAGTCCAGTAATAGAAATACAAACTCTCAGAGGTTTAATACAAAGATATATTTCTTACTTAAACTATGTTCTCCAAAAATCAGTATTGGGGACGGTGGGGAGAGCTGTTCCATATCTACTCAGGACCCCAGGTTTGTGGAGCCCCACCATCTGGAAGTTCGCCAGTCACCATAACAAGACATAGGAGATGCTGAGTCATGGTCAAGGCCTTAAAGACTTCTGCCAATAGTGACATATTTCACTGTGTGAAGCAAATCATATGGCTATGCCTAACTTCACAGGAGCAGTATATCAGAGAGCTTCAGGGGCATAACAAACTACCCCAAAACTTAGAAGCTTATCATATGAGCTGTTTGTTTAGCTCATAATTCTGTGGAATGGCAATTTGTATTAGGCTCAGTGGGACAGTTCTGCTGGCCGGCCCTGGGCTCGCTCAGGTGCTTGTGATTAGCTGCCTGTCAACGACTCAGCTGTTTCTGAGGGTGAGCTGTCAGCCAGGACAGCAGAGCAATCAGGCCAGGTGTCTCTCATCATCAGGAGACTAGCCCTGGCTTGTTCACATGGTGGCAGTCACAGGGTTCTAAGAGCAGCAAGAGAGCAAGCCTCAATGCACAAGCACTTTTGAAGTTTCCTCTTGGGTTTCATTTGCTCCAGGTCCATTGCCTAAGTAAATCATATGGCCAAGCCCAGTGTCAATATGGGGAAATAGATCCTACCTCTTAACAGGAAGAGCTGCAAGACACATTGCAAAGGAGTGTGGAAAGAGGGAAAGAAGTGATTTGTGGCCGCGTTTGCAATCTACTGCATAAGGGAAAGTGCAGTGCCATCATGTTCCCCCAAAGAAGGGGAAATAGAAATATTAATGAACAGAACTAATGAATATCATATCACTAGAATTTCTGGAAGAAGGACATCATGGTCAGATATAATGAAATACACAAATAGAGTTAACTTTGGAATTCAGCTTGACTTTGAAGAACAAAGACTTTTCCATGGCAAGTATCACAGAATATAATAATCTGATTACTTGACTTTTGTGTGAGTTCAATGAACATAGAGATAGGAGTGTAGCTTATTCACCTTTGTCTTCTCACCATCTAGTGCTGTTCCAGGCATTTAGTTGGTGCCTAATATTTATTGACTGATTTGACAGATATTTGGGATATATATAAAATCAAGGATAGAAAGAGGGTCATATCCAGGATTGTCTCCTACACTGAAAATCTAGTTACTCATAAAGGAATTTTAATATAACAACAGATATATGAGATAAAAATGTTAATGATCTTTGGAAAGATGTTTTTGTTCTATTGTCTGTTTCCTATACATATTGTATCATTGATTTATTGCTGTGTAACAAGTCAATCCATAACTTAGTAACTTAAAAGAACAACCATTTGTTATTGCTCAAAATTCTACATATCAAATGGGCAGTTCTGTTTATCTGGTGAGGCCCTGCTGATCTTGGCTGGGACTGCTAATGCTAGAAGCTGCTTGATCTAGGATGGCCTCACTCTGGTCTGGAGTTTGGCTCCCTGTTTGCTAGGGTAATGGGAAGGGCCAGCCATGCATCTCATTATCCAGAAACTACTTTGAGCTCATTTATATAGTGGTAGCATATCAAGCAAAACAAGAGGATGAACACTAATGTGTAAGTGCAGTTCAAGTCTTTGCTTGTATTATGTTTGCTTGCTACTCTCCCATTAGCCAAGGCAAATCATGTGACAAAGCCCAAAGTCTGACTAGGAGGAAGCTTACTCATGGCATGGATACAGAAAGATATCAGAAAATTAGGGTCATTACTTCAAACCACCATAAATACCCATCGAAGTTCACTGTTATCCATCTAAAACTTATAAGCACATGAATAGAGTACCAAGTGTAGATATTAACCACTGGGAAAATTACATTTCATGATTTGTATGGTCATTTGGCAGTCAATTCCCAATCCAAGGTACATTTTAGGAGAATATGATATAAACATACAAATAAATTGGAGTTGTTTGAAATACCCATGTTTCCCTAGTAGAGAAATTTAAAATTACAGAAGTGTATGATGAGTCATGTTTTTTGAGTTACTGACCCAAAATGAAAGCTATTTTAATTTGCAACAAAAATAAACAACCCAGTATACTAGTTAAGATTGTAAAATACCTATTCAATTATGAATTAACAACATGTAATACAAAATAATATATGTTTTATAATTTAATAAAATATAAACCCTTTTGTATGAATTAGATATTTGGAATTATGACTTATAACTATTAGATGACTTAATTAACTATAAAATTACTCATAATGCTGAAAGCCTTTTTTTAAGTAAACTTTATCAGCTTCTTTAAAAATGTCACACTTTGCTATATTTTTTTTAGTTCTGAACTGTAATGCACTGCACTGATCAGAGATCTAAAAATCAAAGACAAATTTGATCAACCAATTATTAGGACATGGAACATAGCCCCCGTCTGGAAAATTTCTAATCAGCCACATAATTATATTATGCTAAATTTTATGTAACTTAGATTCATCCAGGTTTATGAGCCTAAGATTTC